GTTGTCCAATGCTGCCTTTTCAGAGAATCACAAATTTCGTGGAGTATGGACATTTCTAGAGGCTTACACTAGTACACACGTGTCCACCTGGTGTCACTTCTAGGATTGATCTGACTCCAAATGTTTTGTGGTGTTCAATCCTCTGACATTTGCCCAGTGTGTGTTTATTCCCCCGTGCCTGCTGCTCAGGGGTTTGTCCGTAGTACCGTGTTTGAAGCTGCAGTGATAGTGCTGGTGCATTCGCTCGTGCAGAGGGAGGTGTGTGAACGTGGTCGAGGGCGTAGAGGGAGTAACTCCTTCTGTCTTATATTGTTATTCCACTTTTTATTTGTCTCAGATGGCGCCTCGTTCCCCTGTTCTCCACACTGCCCTCTTTGTTCTGTCTCCCTCCCTCCCTCTCTCTCTGCTGCCCCCCCTTTCTCTTTTCTGTTCTCCATCTGTTACTCTCCTCTGTGAGTCTCCCCTCCTTCATTTGACGGTGACGTCTTCCTCCGTCTTCGTGTGTCCCTCTCTGTTTCCCCCTCTACTTCCTTTTCCCACATTCCCTCTGTCCTTTGACACCTGTCCCTTTCAGGAAGCTGTCTTTTCACTTCCGTTGTCTCTCCCACCATTTCCTCTGTGCTCTACCAACACGTACCTTATAGTACCCCTGGTCAAATATTATTCATCCATAAAATATAAATCACTATATTGCTCTCCAAGTTATTTCCTTTTTACAAAATGTGTGTCACTCGTCTGCAGTCTTCCAGTCAGTGGGGTTAAAAAGCCATCATGGACCAACAGGGTCAATGATCTACTTTTTATAGTATGGACATTATTGATTTTGAGATAAACGTAAACCCTAATTATTGGTAATCGAACTGTATTTCATAGTCTGTTTTCTATGAAATGTCATTGTATATTATACAATATTTATATGTTCTACTAAAAAAACAAAAAAAAAAAGTTCTAAAAAGTTCTAAAAAGTTCTAATTTTCCTAATTTTCTTAATTTACCTGACAGCTTCTCTGACTGACTGAGGAATTTTATTTTTTAAATACAGGGCAACTCTACAACACAATCTCTCTAGGTTTAAACATGGATCATATCATATCAACAGAAACTACTTTGGATTCATCTAAGGTTCAACGTTTAGCTAGAAAAAAAGGTGTTACATTGAATGATTTGTCATTCATCAGCAGCCATGTTTTAACTTTCCGTCACCACCAGAAAGATTATGAATGTTTTTGTAAACTTGTCCACTCAGTTCTTTCAAAATCTTATCACTTTAATAAGCATTCTAAGCAAAACATTGAAATCTACTCTGGAAAATGAGACGAGAATGAGTTTAAGTTGGTTGTGTTTAAGTAGAGGCCTTAACTGATGTGACCTGAGTCTGACCTGCACAGATCAGAGGTCAGTTCTTACCAGTGCACGATGGTCACCTCAGATTGCCACAGAACACACACACACACACACACACACACCGCCACAGGTGAACGAGTGACAAGCCAGGAATTCCTCAGAACAAATTTACCCTCTGCCGTTTATTATCCCTCTTAACATTTTCTTTTTTTATATTGTTTGCACATGGTTTAGAGAGGAGAGAGTCGACTCACAAGTGCACTCATGCCCCTGTGTCAGTCTCCTTGTGCGGTATAGATGCCCATCTCCACCCACTTGACCTGTGACCTTGTCCAAACAGCCAGAAGCTTCTTAAACCTGGGCGTCACTTCTTCTAACCTGAAGGCAGAGACAGCACTTCACCACAGACACACACACCGTCGTGGTTAAATAACTCGACGTGTTTAAACTCACATATTTGATCTGTGCTTTTCTCTGTCCCCGCAAACTAACAGTTATTGTTATAAAACGTCAAAACATTTCACCTCCTTTGTTTAACTGATTAAGGAGACGGAATCATTCATCGAAGACTGCTCCTCAGTTTAGTTGTTCTCTTCTTGACCAGTTCTTGACCAGAGGTTTTTTTTATCACTGAGCCAGAATTTTTCTGTAAAGGAACCTTGGGGGCCAGACACGAAAAAAATCTAAAAAAATCTAATTTTTGTCTTTGTAATGTAAATTTAGTCATAAATGGTTGGGGTTATTGACAGTTATTTAGGTCTCAGTTGTTGTTATTTTCAGTTCCTGTAGTCACGGGCTGGATTGAACAGTTCAGTGGGCCTGATTTGGCCTGTGGTCCTCCAGTTGATGCTCACTGTTCTTAACTTTTTGACAATCTGCTCATCTCATTTCATAAAGACTGGACCTTTAGGGACTGACAAATAAAAAAAGGTGTGGAATTTTAATCACTGCATTTGTTAAAAAGAAAACCAAAAGCAATTGCTTTTACAATAATTTTATTAGCAGTGAGAAAATACAGCAGACCCCAAACAACTCTTGTCCAATAAGATCTGATCAGGAGCATGATTCATACAGAGTGATAAATAGAATTAGATCAGAACATTTCACAAGAGAAATGTCCCCTTTCTGCAGATGGAAAGTTTCTACCTGAATCTGTTAATAGTTGATTCAACAACATTCAGCAGACACTAAGTGCTGATTATGTTCTCCGACACTGGAAACAAAATGCTGTGGTTGTTAGTGAGTGATAGAGGGATTTCTGACCAAGGGAAAATGGCCTTTGGTCTCATTTTAAGCTGCGGCTCATTAATGTTAAGGGGAAATTCAATGTAAAATAACAGGATGGAAAACAAAACTAATAGAAGGAAATTATTCCTAATCAGTTTGATGCAAACCAGCTACTGGATGCTGGGGTTCTGTTTGAACTGTTGAGGCACGTAAAGGTGTTTCTAATCCACAGGACATTTCATTTGCATATTGTGCATCAGCTCAAGACAGAGCTTTGGTGTCTTTGAATGGCAGTGCAGCCATTTAAAAAAAGTTATTTTTCATCATGCCCCATGTCAACAAGGGCAGCCATTCTCTATAGTGAGAGTATAAATAGCCTTAGGAGGAAATGAATGGATCGGTAAAAAGTGATGGAGAGGCCAGGAGGCGGAGGAGAATCATAAATAAGGCTGGCTCCATCCCTCAGGGTTACATAGTGTAAGGCAGCATGGGATTAATAAGGCGCCGAAAAAATGAAAAGTTATAAAAACAGAACGGATGAGGACAAAAGTCGGAGAGCGAGAGAGAGAGAGAGAGAAGAGGAAAAATAAGGGGAATCCAGGGTGCTGTGTGGGTTTGTTTTGGTTGGCAGTGGTGTTAATGGGTTAATGGGACTGAGAAGACGGAGAGTCCCAACTGTCTCACCGGACTGGACCTTCAGGTCACAGGGAGCTGCGTGTCACCGGGAGCTTACATGTTTAGCTGCTAGGGCTGCGATCTTGACCTGTCCAGATGTTGGTGAGTGGATGGAGTAAAGAGGGAGCGCTGGATGGAGAGAGAGACAAGAGGGGTGAAAAAGGGGGAGAGGGATTACCCTGTGTCTTCTTTGGTTTGTTTGTTAGTCTTAATGGACCTGGGAACACTTAAAGCACTTAAGACAGTCTGACCAGTTTGACCTCAAGGGTAGGGAGGTTAAAAGCCCTCTGCTGACTGACAAGGTGACAGGAGCCGGGCAGGGGAGAGAGAGAGAGAGAGAGGGAGAGCAGGAAATATATATATATATATATACATATATATATTTATATATATGTATATATGTGATAATACGTATGTATATATTGTAAACATTCTGTATATCCATTATATATATAATATATATGATTTATACTAATGTTTCCCAACCCCCGGGCCACGGACCAGTCCGTGTGTCAATTGGTAGTGGGCCGTGCAGAGAGAATGCACAATTTACATTATTTCCGTTTTATTTATTATGTGATTCTGAACAATATTTTATTTTGAAATATTTCCGGATTCTCTCCACATCAGGTTCTGCTCCGGCTGGTAACGCATAATACATTATTGCTAAATTGAAACACTCGAGCTAGCAAAAAGCAAAACATCTCTGGAAAGTTTCTTTGTGCAGGGAAAAAGCGTCAGTGAGGAGACAGAAGAAGAGCCTACGTCTTCAAAGAAACAATTCCAGGAGTCCAATAAATATGGATTTATGTATTTATAGGTTCGGGTTTTGCACAAATGAGGGAGAATCTGAGGCCATAAGTCCAAAATTAGGGAAAAAAGGAAATGATTAATAAGCTACTGAAAGATGAAGAGAGCAGAGTGACAGTAGCGAGACGAGAGACTAAAAGTAAAGATGTCACGCTCAGGGCTTCTGAAAGGGAAGGTTTTTACAATTTCTTTTTCTTCTCCCTGTCGTCACATCTCTTTTCTTTTCCCCTTAACTCCATTATCTCATTCCTTCTTGCCCGTCCGTAACCTGTGAGTCCTGCGTATGTATGTGTGGGAGTTTTCTTTTATTGAAAGAAAGAAAGATGTAAGCAAGGCTATCCTCATTTAGAATACACACACATACGCACACACACACTCGTAGCCACACAAATACAAATACTTGGGCTTCATTCACCTGTGACTGCCTGAGCTCAAGAACATCACGCCCCATTACACCAGTGAGGAGACACGTGTGTGTGTGTGTGTGTGTGTGTGTGAGAGAGAGAGAGAGACTTTTTGAGGTCATTAGTTGTAATGTATCTTCTATGTCAGTCTCTGTCTTTCTCTCTGCCTCCATCTCTCTCCCTTTTTTTAGGAAGTTACTGCCATTTTTTTATTATTATTTATTTTTTTAAATAATATAATAATTCTTATTTTATTTTCCACAACCCCTTCAATTAATTCAGTGTAACTTCAAGACTTTAATTAATTTGAGTTTTATAAATAATTTTCTCACAGTATTAATAAAGTTTGTTTGGACGTGAAATTGCAGTTCTCTGGAAACTGAACGCTTTGGTCCAAAATGTCATGTCATTTTTATATTCTTAAAAATGAACCCATAATTCCAGAGGAACATGAATTGACACATTGTACCAGTTTGTTGGAGGAGGATAAAGAACTGCAGTGACTAACTGATATGTTTTCTTGTTTTTTTCTCTCTGCAGGTGTTGGCTCCTCCACAGTCGTGTCTTTTTCAGTTTTCCTCAATGGCCGTTATCCTCCTGCTGATCTCAGTGGAGACATCACTGTGTCCTACAGCTCACCCACAGGTAACAAACAGGGAACGGGTCGGGACGGTATCTTCAGTTAAAGAGGAATGTGTGTTATTATATTACAAATGAGTAAGAAACTTGATCAGGGCAATCACGGGATAGCTGCGGGTTAGTTAGGATTAATCCAGAATAATTTAGATTAATCAACATCTACTGTTCATTTGACAATTCTCTCTGTCTGTATGTGAACTGAAATTAATTTACCTTTGCTGGACCTCACCTGTAATGGCTCTGTGCCACCTAGGAGCCCCAACCCCTATTTTGAAAACCACAGTTTTTTGCTTTTCTTGATTCTTTTGTTTACAGACATATTGCATTTTTTTCTATCTGAAGAGAGGACTGTGATTAATTAGACATTTTTTTCTGTGATTTTTAAGAGATTCAAAGACGGTGTAGATTTTCTGGTTACACTAACTAGTCTACCTTAATTCTAATGTGCCAGAGTCGGCCTCAGGCTAGTATAACTGTTTATGTTTGTCATATATATTCACTACTAAAAGTGTGAAGAACCAGTTTCTTGCAGCGTTCACCTGGTCCTTCACAGCCACCTCAGAGCTTTGTGAACTCACATAATGTCCTCTTCAAACAGAAGCAGCGTCAGATGCTGCCAAATGCTCCGTGTTGTGTCAGTGATATAATGAAGTTGGTTACAGTCTGAACAGTTAACATCTGATCCCGCGCAGCAGAACTGAACACCAGCTGCTAACAGAGTGCTGACTTGACGTAATGACATCTGGGCTCTTTCCAAACAAACCCAGTTCATCCCCCTGCTCCCTCCAGGCATCTGTTTCCCGGCCCCTGCAATATTTCTGGAAGATATTACTTTCCCCTGAAAACCAACAAAACCACTCTTTATTTCAAATGTCACAGACTTCCTTTTCATCAAAAAAAAAACTGATTTCAGTATTTGGTTAAAAAGCAGCTCAGGGAAAAAAGCCCATGTTTTCATGCTATTGTTTCCCTTGGATTACATTTGTCTTGGCAGAGCCCGGTTGGTGGAACAGTTCCTCCTCCCCAGAAGCACTTTTAATGTGAAATGTCTGGAAATATTGGGAAGTGTTTCTTTTTTTGTTGAGCTTTATTGTGATGCTAAAAATAACTGAAAAAATATGGCGTCTGGAGTTTTTCACTGAGCCCTGGAAGCTCGGCAGCCAGAACCGCACCAATCTCATGCTTTTGGAACGGGCTGTTAGTTTTTTGCTTGTTGGATTGAGCAAAGTGTTCGAAAACATAGGTGAAAGTAGAACAAAGGTGACGCTTAGTAGGGTTTAGGAAGGAGCGGTTTTTTTTTTTATATATATATATATATAAAACCTCATGCTTGGTTGGACGGACAGGAAGGGTGGGTGTTAGATGGAGAGGAGATTGTGGGAAGTATAGGTTGACTGAGGTGACAATGAGGAATAAGAGGTGGAAAATGGAAAGTTTAGTTAAATTACAGATATTAAAGTCTTTTAAATTGTCAATTTAATCCTAATAATAATGCATAAAGTACAAAAAAGAAATCAGCACACACTGTAGAATGAGCAGCCGGAGCTTTTATTCACTATTCAATAATTATTACATTTGTTTAGAACAAGAAAACTATTTACGGACATGGCTATCTAGCTGCATGCTAGCTGAAAGAGCAGAGCGCCTTCATAACTGACAGAAACCACCAGGTCTACACAGATTACGATGTTGTCATGCAATCTTAGCAACTCCCCAAAGGACCACGGACCGCACTTTGAGAACCACTGAACAAAGCATTTTAGTTTTTTTTACTGATTATTTGTTGTCAGTGTCAGCAAAGAAAGTCCCCTGAAAGTGACAAAAACATATGCTGCGTATACCTGTGAGGCAGACAACAATAACTCAATATAAAGCAGATGAACAGTGTCCAAAATCAAAATAGAATAAAAATAAATTCTGAATAATTGACTACAGAATTAAATATTTGATGCCGCCCCTGTTCTAATTATAGACCCGTGGTGACATGAAGTGAGGACTGACTCTGGACTAAACTGCTGCCTGGACACAGTGGTTTGAGATGACGTCCAGCACTGACTCACCGTGGTCCTGGAGGCGTTTATGGTCAGGATGTCGGGTCAGGGATTTTTAACATTCAGTCTGGCACAATTTGCGAAGAAATCATTATTTTTGGTCTGATATTTTTGGAGGTTTTTGGTTTTAACAGAAGGGTTTTGTTACAACGACGTATTGTAATTTAACAGGCAGACATAATACGGGGCTGGTTATTTGCTCGCCTGACTACAACAGAACAGAATACACTGAGACATGTTAGCCTGAGTACTGACTGACTGAGTGGCGAAAAAGTGGTTCCCACAGTGGATGGCGGACCCCGTTGGTGGACATGTAGTTATTGCAGGTGGACCACAGCAGGCTAAATGAAATGCATTTTCATTTTTTTATTTTTTTGCCACAGTGGGCACATATTTGTAATTTTATTTATTTTTATTTTAGGAATCACAGTGTTTTGAATACACTTTGTAGTTTTGAAGCAGAAGCGGTGGTCGACAATAGTCTGTTGTTGCAGACAGTTTGGGAGGCTACTGCTACTCATGTCTTTTTCTGGACTTAATCCAAACATAGTATCAGCAGCATGTATTCAGATTATGATGCCATCAGGAGGCTGTGAATTGCGTCATCATTTTATTTACCACACGTATTGAAGAAACCATTTGTCTGTCTAAAGGCAGTAAACTCTACTCTGCTGCTTGGTAAGGAAGTCGAGTGCCTCATAGCAGTTTTACCCACAGTTCCCCACAGCTTGCATACTAATGCACTTTCAGTGGTTCGGCTGAAGACAGGTTGAAGCTGAACTGCATCGATCCCATCAGTCTTAAGTGGTGAGGTTAACATTACAGCCAGCTGGAGATCCAGACTGACCGTGAAGAAACCACATCCATTTAACTGCTGAATGCACTGCATTCTTCTCAGCTCTGGATGATCGCTACCTGCGTGTTCAAAAACACATCCGCTGTCTCTCGGTCTACACCAAGCAGCAAATAAGTCCTTTCAGCTGGTGAACCACAAAGTGGTCATCTCAAGAGCCCGTGCATGCATGGGTGTGTGGCTGTAGCTCTGCGGTTGTGTGTTCCTTCAGCACTAATCTCCGTTAATGCCTCGTCTCCTCTCATCCCTGTAAATGCTCTCCCGGAATGGGAGGAATGCATGGCTTTATCTCTGCGCTCCTACCCAGGGGCAGCGATTACACCTCAGCAACGCCCGCTCCGTACATCACCCTCACACCCCGTGGGTTGTTCAGACCACTTTTTCTAAGCCCTACAAAGGCCGTGGCATTTAAGACGACTGTCGACTCGCTAAACCCTTCAAAGGAGCCTGGATGTTGGCTGTAGTCGTTACAGTCTACGAGGAATTTCATTAATGCTTTCTGTGATTTCCCCTAACTCCCTAACAATGGGGATTTGCACTAACACACTTTAGAGGGATCAAGTGGTCAGGTTGGCATTTAGGTTTGTTTCTTCATTTTATCCAAACACTTAGAATAAGTTACAACTTCGTGGATTATCTCCATACGACGAGGTCAGCTGTGGCTCCGTGGTTACTCAGCAGGTTCATGTGGGACCTCCGTTGTTTTCACCTTCTTTATAAGGTTTGGCAGAGTGAGCAGATTCTCCATATGTTGGTGTTTCCAAGAGGCTGTTCTGTTTTTGATCACCTCTCTCTTTGGGTTAAAATGTCATGTCTGAAACCTATTTAGAGAAAGAAACGATGATGGTGTCGTTGCGTCACCTCAGGCCTGTTCATCAGCAGAAACTTGGGACCAGATCTGGTGGAAAGTTAGACCAAGAAAAAAATAACATAATATTGTTGATGCCATTGTATTTCAATTAGGGCTGTCAGTCGATTATACTTTTTATTCAAGTTAATCAGAGGGCAGCTGCTGATTAAACATGACTTATCACTGATTAATCAATGACTAATCGTGATTAATCACAGTCGTAATTTATCTTATATAAGATTACATTTTCAGCTCCTGCAGTGTGATTGACAAATGGATTGACTATGAATTAGAGGTTATTGGATGCTGTTGGAATCACTGGATCTACAGGGGACATCATGCAATAACACGTGTTAAAAATTTTAATCTGATACTCTTTCACAAGTGAATTTAGGTTATTAACACCTTAATTAACAATTAACACAAAATGTAATTTTTATTGTTGTTTTCTAATTCTCTTTCTTTAACAATTCACCACGCCATTCAATCCAATGCAGGAATTTTAGGTAAATTATTTTAAGAATATCTGATTTTTGAGACAATATTCTATAATTATATTAATATGAATGAAATTGAAACATAACCTGCACCCAGATTCAAAGTCATAGTCGAGATGTTTTAGTTTTGGTAAGCTGCCACTTCCTGTGTTTATATAAAAAGTGTCATGACATGACGTTGTCACATATTTGGTCGTTTTAGAGTTTGAAGTCCTCCTGAATCTGCACATGAGACCAATCCTGGTAAAAGGAACTTTATACTGAGGTCAAACACATACCTTTTTTACTTCTCCGTATTTACTGCGTTATAATTTTCTACAGAATACAGAACTTTCTCCGTTATATTTTGTAAAATAAAAGCTTTCAGTCGTGAAATACGAGAGCCATTTTTCTATCTCACCAGTTAATGGATGCAGAGTTTCACTCAGCCCAGCCAGTTTTAATTTCTCCGCTGCTACGGGAGATTTTTAGAACAGGAAATACTGATTCAACACTGGCTGGACGCCAGCCAAAAGCGGCTACTGTCTCTGTCTGTGTGTGTGTGTGTGTGTGTGTGTGTGTGTGTTCTTGACATGCTGTGTGTGTCTTTGACTTTGCACCATTTGTCCTTTTGTCCTTTAATTTAACTCGATAACATTTGTACGTCTCTTTGACCTTATTTTATTTTTACTGTCTTCCTTTAATTTAACTCGATAACATTTGTTATAGTTGTTATCGTTTTGCACTGAGGCGTGTTTTTAATTTTCTTCACAATG